ACAAGTAGTTCCAGTGTCTGGAGGCACTGTTCCAGCCTTCCTTCCTGGGCATGGAATCTTGCAGCATCCACAAGACCACCTTGAACTCATCATGAAATGTGACGTGGACATCTGCAAAGACCAGTATGCCAACACGTGCTGTCTGGCAGCACCACCATATACCAGGGCATCCCGACAGGATGCAGAAAATCACCGCCCTGGCACCCAGCACCATGAAGATCAAGATCATTGTGCCCCGCCCCAAGCGCAAGTACTCGGTTGGATCGGCAGTTCCATCCTGGCCTCACTGTCTACCTTCCAGCAGATGTGTATCAGCAAGCAGGAGTAAGACAAGTCGGGCCCCTCCATCGTCTACCACAAATGCTTCTAAACGGACTGTGAGCCGATGCGTAGCTTTTGCCACATGGGTTAATTCTGAAGTATAAATTTGCCCCTGAAGCTGGGCGCAGTGGCTCAGGCCTGTAATCCCTGCACTTTGGGAGGCTGAGGTGGGCGGATCACAAGGTCAGGAGATCAAGACCATCCTGGCTAGCATGGTGAAACGCCCACTCTACTAAAAATACAAAAAAATTAGTCGGGCGTGGTGGTGGGCGCCTGTAGTCCCAGCTACTTGGGAGGCAGAAGAATGGTGTGAACCCAAGAGGTGGAGCTTGCAGTGAGCCAAGATCGTGCCACTGCCCTCCAGCCTGGGCAACAGAGCGAAACTCCATCTCAAAAGAAAAACAAAAACAAAAACGTGTCCCTGGCAAATGCACACACCTCATACTAGCCTCACGAAACTGGAATAAGCCTTCGAAAAGAAATTTGTCCTTAAGGTTTGTATCCAATATCAGCACTGGATTGTAAAACTTATTGCTGATTTTGACCTTGTATTCAAGTTAACTGTTCTCCTTGGTATTTGTTTAATACCCTATACATATCTTTGATTTCAACCCTTAGTACATGTGGCTTGGTGACTTCGTGGCCAAGGTAAGAACTGGCTTGTGGAAGACAGGTCGGTGGCTTGGTGAGTCTGTGTGGCCAGCAGTCTCCGATCTGTGCAGTGTATTAACGTGTCAGGGCTGAGTGTTCTGGGATTTCTGTAGAGCCTGGTAAGGGCTCCTGAACCAATTGTTTCTATCTTGCTGGTCTATCTGGGTTAGAAAAGTCCAAGCCGTAGGACCCAGTTTCCTTTCTTAGCTGATGTTTTCCTGCCAGAACACCATGAGCTGCTACTTGTCTTGAGTTGGAAGCAGTTTGCATTTCCACCTGTAAATGTATTCATCCTTTTAATTTATGTAAGGTTTTCTTGTACGCAATTCTCGATTCTTTGAGATGATAACACATTTTGGTTTTTTACCGTTATGTGAGAACATCAGGCCCCGGCAACATGTCATTGTGTAAGGAAAAATGAAAGTACTGCTATAAAAGAAACAAAAAAATTGGCTGGGCACGGTGGCTCATGCCTGTAATCCCAGCACTTTGGGAGGCCGAGGTGGGTGGATTGCTTGAAGTCAGGAGTTTCAGCCTAGCCTGGCCAACATGGTGAAACCCTGTCTCTAGTAAAATGCAAAAGTTAGCTAGGTGTGGTGGCAGGTGCCTGTAATCCCAGCTACTAGGGAGGCTGAGGTGGGAGAATTGCTTAAACCCAGGAGGTGGAGGTTGCAGTGAGCCGAGATCACACCACTTCACTCCACCCTGGGCAACAGAGCAAGACTCCCATCTCAAAAAAAAAAAAAAAATCAGGAGTCTCACTGAGGTAGTAGCTACAGTGAGCAGATACCATCCCTTAGGGGTTGGGGAACAAAGGGAAAAGATTGGGATGAATAGAATTTAGAATTCTGAAGGAGGGCACAGTGGGAAGATGGGGGAGGCCTGCCTCCGGCCCTTGTATCTCTAAGGGGCTGTGCTGAGGCTGATTCCAGGAGCATGGGGGAAACTGCACACTGGAAGCAGACTTGCCTGGACAATACTGCTCAACAGAGGCAGATGCAGGGAGCCTGTCGCCTTCTCCTCCAAGCTGTCATCCCCTTCCTGCTGGTTTGCAGAGGGTCTAGCCCAAGAATCACAAAGCAGCACACAGAACAGGGGATTCAAAGCTGAGACGACTGTGACCAGCACTCCCCTCAAACACTGACTCAGGGTTTGCAGGTACTGGGACAAGGTTCTAAATAATATGTCCCTTTTCAGTTCAAAGTTTCCAAAAAAAAAAAAGCAGTATTTTAATGAATCCACCTTGGGAAAAAAATTATAATAGCGTCCACATCATTAGCAGCTCACAAGACAGTTACTTTTCACTTACATAGTCACGATTGACAAGTACTAGCAGTTCGCAGACACATTTTAAGTGATTGATTTCAGATTCAGATGAGAAGCTAATTTCGTTTTTTTAAAAAACAGGGTCTGTAATTCATTACACAGATAAAAGATCATTTGCCATTAAATATTTTGTTTCCTAAGTGCAGGTATATGTAAACAAGTGAAAGTGATGCAACCCACAAATAGTCCTAATTCAAGTGCTAGAGAATTTGACAGTTTAGTTGATGGGTCAGAAAACTACAGGCTTCAGGTCAGACCTAGCATGCTGCCTACTTTGGTTTTTTTTTTTTTTTTGAGAGGGAGTTTTGCTCGTCGCCCTTGCTACACGACCAACGCACGCCAACCAACCCACAAATAGGTCCTATTCAAGGCTAGAGAATGATTGACAGTTTAGTTGGATGGGTCAGAAAACTTACAGGCTCCAGGGTCAGACCTAGCATGCTGCGGCTACTTTGGTTTTTTTTTTTTTTTGAGAGGGAGTTTTGCCTCGTCGCCCTTGATTAGAGTGCAATGGCGTGATCTTGGCTCACTGCAACCTCCGTCTCCCGGGTTCAAGCAATTCTCCTGCCTCAAGCCTCCCGACGTAGCTGGGATTACAGGTGCCTGCCACCACGCCCAGCTAATTTTTGTATTTTTAGTAGGTCAGGCTGGTTGTCGAACTCTTGACCTCAGAGATCCGCCCACTTGGCCTCCCAAAGTGCTGGGATTACAGGATGAGCCACCGTACTCTGGGCCACCTGCCTACTTTTTATAAGTTTTACTAGTAACATAGCCACAGTCGCTCATGTACAGCTTTACAATTTCCTGCAGCAACACAGAGTTAACAATAGGGCCATATGACCTCCAAAGCCTAAGTGTGGAACTCTTGTCTAGGGTAACGTCTTATGTGACTCATGGAGGTTTCTTTTTTTTTTTTTAAATACAGAGTCTTGTTCATTGTCACCCCAGGGCTGGAGTGCAATGACACAATCTTGGCTCCTGCAACCTCCGCTTCCGGGGTTCAAGCGATTCTCCTGTCTCAGCCTCCTGAGTAGCTGAAATTACAGGACCCACCACCTAGTGCCTGGCTAATTTTTTTGTAGTTTTTTAGTAGGAGACGGGGGTTCACCACGTCCCACGGCTTGGTCTCAAACTACTGTGACCTCAGGGTGATCACCTGCCTTGGCCTCCCAAAGTGCGGGATTACAGGCATTCCACCACACCCAGCTGAGGTTTCTTTTTTAAATAATGAAAATGTGCCTTACCAGACAACTTGAAACATTTAAGAATTGAATGTTGTTTAGTAATTTTTTTTTTTTTTTTTGAGACGGGAGTTGCTGTGTCGCCCAGGCTGGGAGGCAGTCGCACAATCTCGGCTCACTGCAAGCTCCGGCCTCCTGGGTTTGCGCCATTCTCCTGCCTCAGCCTCCAAGAGTAGAGTAGCTGGACTACAGGCGCCGCCACCACACCCAGCTAATTTTTTGTATTTTTTTAGTAGAGACACGGGTTTCCACCGTGTTAGCCAGGATGGTCTTGATTCTCCTGACCTCGTGTTTCCCACCTGCCTCAAGC